TTCCGACCCACTCTTGGGTTATCAAGCATTATAGTCTTCCACAACTGGTAGTCTGTGCTCCTCAAACAGCATCTAAAGAATCTCCTTGAGTATCTCAGTAGGTAAGCAAATGTTGATAACATTCAGTGTATATTGTCCGAAGTAGACCGGTAATATGATTTTCTCAGATATATTACCGAATTACCATCATTTTCCTACAGAAAACCTTCCTTGATATATGTTGTATATGATGTTTTCCTATCCTTACTGAGGAAGCAATATCTGTTATAACTGTTATATTGTAACAACTGCTGCTGTAACGTCAACAGTATATCTCGTTCACTTGTGTTTTCTGTAACCCAACTGTATCCACGCCGTTTTCACTGCATATTGCAAGCAATCGGTCTGTTAATATCTTCCACTGGAATTCAATGAGATTACTTCCCGGGCAGTAATATCCATGAATACTGCTTCCAAATTTCTTATTAGGTCATAGACAAATTATCTACTTGACAATTGAGATATACATAATATTCTGATGTGTTAAAGAATTTATGGACTTTTTAATAATTTTCCTAAAATGAATGCATGTGGACAAGTGAGGCGGGGGAAGCGCAGGAGAAGTACACAGACGGGCGAGTTCTCGAATATCTCTAAATAATAGTGGCCGATAGGAGTGGTATAGGATAATTTTATAATACAAGATAAGTAAAGAGGAAATACATCTGGAAGAGTCCAGATAAATAATCAGATGAAAGAATTAATAACGGTATGAATGGGAAGCGTGATGTGGCACTGAATGGATGCCATGTTGGCTCTGCCGCGTGCAGTCTCCAATATATAATTAATGTACGTCTCCCAGTGTATATTAAACACCACACAACAGGTAAGGTTGATAGAGGTTGACAGTTTTCTATTTCATCTGTCTGCGGGAAGCATCAGGACATAATCAATGTAATAGACTGGTAAGTGTAATAATATACGCTCTTAATATGAAAGAATGTGATAAATAATTGTAATCCAGTAGATAAAACAAAATACTTCAGTAACTTCAGTTAGATTCTTCTTTATTATACAGTCCACTTCAATGTCAGTTTTACTGACGTAAATTTTCATTATAAATATACAGAAAAAATAAGTTACTAATCCAAGGTCTCATAGATAGGAAGCTCGAGGCGGTGGGCTTTGACGGAGGGACACTGTGACCTCCAGTGTTCCTGAATACCCACCAGTCTCCAGGATATATCAGTTTCAGTAAGTTGCATTTTGAGTTCTGTATTCTGTGTTCTCCCCCGAGTGTGGGTGGAATGTTAATTTTGAGATTGTGATCTCGGAAAAATCCCCCACAGAATTTGTCTGTATGATCTTCGTTGACGTTAACTTTTTATGTAACTAGATTTTTGGAATCAATCTCTTCTTGTGAAAATTTCATTCATCTCTCAAAAGAATAATTTTGTCAGTGGAAGATAAGATAATTTCAGTGTTACCTTGCATTGGAATTTACCTTGTTTAAATGTTATCCGCCAAGTAAGATAGTTTTGTGAAGAAAGTGACATCTACAAGCAACACACAAATTCTTCGTTCTGCTCAAGGGTAAAAAAAAAAATTAAGTAATTCATCCTTGAGTTCACACACTCGTGACACTTTGCTTCTGGATGATAGCCATCTTGCCTCCGAGTGCAGAAGATTCACATGCTTTACCCAAACTTCTTCACACAGTTGTCAAACAGTCGTGATTTACGTGGCCTGCTTTTCTATGTAATTCACCAGTTTAATAACTCTGTCTAGCACGACCTTCATCTTATTGTTCTTTTAGCCAGCACCTCACGATGGAGAAAACTATGTTTTGTTATGGCATCATTGTTTTCCATTTTCACTAATGATATAAATCCTTTCACTGAACCAACCATTGGTACAGCACTATTTGTACAAATTCCTACACAGGTTTTCCAGGACTAACACCAGCTTCCAAGTGCATACTTAATGTAGTGAATATATCTTAGCCACTTATTGTTTCTTCAAGCTCTTTAAAACAATAAGATATGGTTTACTAGTTTAGCAATACTAATGTAGCGAATGAATGCTAATAGTTGAGCCTTCCCTCCAATACCTGTAGACTCATCCACTTGGGGTGCAACAAAAAAATTTCTTACTTTGACAGAGGCGCACACAATTTCTTCTATGTCAGCTAACATAACATGTAACCGTCTGCTCATGCTATTATCTGAGAATGGAATATTTTTAACTTCTTTTTCTTCTTCTTTCTCATAGTTTTTTTCTGTGGCACTTCAAGCATTGAGAATAAATGTTCCTACTTCTGTATGAGGCTTCATATTTTTACCGAGTAATTCTGCTACTACGTATCTCTCGTCTTCACCTGTCTTAGAAACACTGGCTATTTTAAAAGAATATCGAGCTCTGTTGTCTTTACTCATTCATGTTTCTAAATGATGGAAGCTTGTTGGTATGATCATGTTTCATAGTGAAAGGTTTCTTTAATTTCCTGAGTTCTATGTTCATTGTCCAGTTTATCATCACAAATAACACATTCTGCCGTAGGCTTCAATCACATCAGTTTTACCGGAAGTGAAAGCTGTTCTTTTTTTCACTCATATTTCCACCTTCGTCTCTCTTTTCGCTCTCACCACCATCATCATGGTTTCTCGTACCGAGTTTGAAACTCGGTACCGTTTCAAACGTCTGTGGTTATAGTAAGATGTGAACGCGACTTGTTACATCACCCTGGGAAGCCAACACATCAATGACAAAAACGCATCACGTATTGGGTAACATAAACTCTAAAGTTGTAAACAAAGAAAATGATTGTAAACCAAACTTTTTCGTTAATCATATAATTACTATTACACTATAACAATTTATCAATTAATGACATCTGTTCAAAAAATTATAGCTCATCTTTAGTAGTTAATTATACAACAAATACTAGTCTAAAATATTGTTGTACTTTAAGACGATGAAGCCATGGCAAAATTACGCACCATCGTCCTAAATTAGGCCACCCACCTAATTTGTAGAATTTTGTTCAGGTGATGATACCTGTGCGTCGTCAACTTACACATGCTTCTTCACGATTATTACTATTATTATTATAATCAAAAAGAAGAGCTAAACCACAAGGGCTACACAGCGCGGCTTCTTCATGAGATTCGTCGTTTTGTTCCACGTAGCCTGAAACATTAATTTTTGTCTTTTTTTCTGTTCTGCCTTTTTAAATTTATTTTATTACCTATCATAATAAAATATGTGAATCATTAGCATAGATGGGAAAGTTTATGCATATTTACTAAAACCTGCATCACCCGTCCGTGAAATGGTATTTTATCATAGCGGGTTTCTCTTGTCATCTCGTGACTTGTCACAGGCATCTGTGATATTTCACTGTTGCTATTCCCGTTTGCGACCCTTTAACTTGTCACAGCTGTCATAGCTATAATCTTTTCTCTAACTTTGTGATTTGTCACAGTAGTAAAGTCATCCATATTTATAGCCAGTTATAGCAATAATCTATTACTTAACCTCTTGAGTTGCGACAGCCGTAAAGTTCCTCTACAAGGTATAACTTGTTACAGCCGTTATCATCCTCCATGTAGCTACTGCCTGTTACAGAAGTAGTCACATTTCCTGGGCACACCTGTGGGTACTAGCTCATTATTATTATTAGATTCGAACTTCGCCCAGTGTTGCCATAGGCCTAAATTATTTTCATTCTCATAGCTCACATAGGTGTACAAAATGAAATTTGCTCTTGCATGTTCCTTGAGTTGTAACTAGACGCTGGGAAGATTTGAAGTGATAGATGAAGTGAGATAGGTTGGCAACATTGTTGGTTTGGTAAATGTATGTGAAAATGAGGTATGGTCGTTGAGGCAGTAAGTTTGCTTCTAGAAAAAATAAATTCTACTGCGTAGATTTTTTGCAAAACTTATATTTACATGTGTAAAACCAGGAACCAGTAGTGGTAATAATGTGAGGAATACCAACGAATGGTAGAGTACATGAAATAAAGGAACACTGATCACTTGATGCTGCTGCACCGAAGAATACACAGTGGTAATGGTAGGGAACACCTGGAAGTGATAAATAGTTTTGAAAACCGGCAAGTTGAAGATTGAAACACTTATGCAACACATGGGAATCTTTATTAAGGAAACGTTTTGCCACACAGTGGCTTCATCAGTCCAATACAAAGCGGAAATGGGTAAGGAGAGGAGGAGTTTGAGCTAATCAGTCCCTCACTCTGGAAACGATGTGTTCAGTTGGTTTTCAAAACCATTTGTCACATCTGTCAGACACTGCAACATCATGGGATCTTGATACAAGAAAATCTTCAATACTTGTTCAACCTTTGGATGGTTCCACTGTGATCCAGTCTCCTCCTGCTTCGACTCACCTGACTACAGTATATAAGCCACTTCTCCGGCCATATGCTATATTTTCTACAAGACTGATGGATTGAGCACATCGATTTCAGACTAAGGGACTGATTACCTCAAATTCCTCCTCTTTTAACCCATTTCTACTTTGTACTGGACTGATGAAGCCACTGAGTAGCAAAACATTTCCTAAATAAAGATTCCCATATGTTGCATTAGTGTCTCAATCTTTACACCTGGAATTATTAGTGACTTTGTATATACTTACATCTTCTTCAGTTGATTCAAAAACATCTTTTCACAATACATAGTGAATATATTTATGCAAGAAATTTGTTTGTAACTTACGGACAAATTGTCTAATGACTTCTAGAATTTTTCCTTTTGTCTCTCTCACGACTTATTAAAAGTTATGAACGGCGTCATCCACAGAACTGCGACTTTATTTCTTTGTATACGCTAAAATATTAAATAAAAACAGACATTTAAAATGCTATAACAAAACTAATATTTATCTCTGTACAAAAAGCAGACATGATTACCATTTGTAATGTAAATTAACAATGAGAACCAGATGGGTGTACTTATAAAACCAGACTGGTATATTTACAGTGTGCTGAGACATACCTGGTCGTGGTGAGGCCAGAGGCAGCAGCCAACCCAGTAGCAGCAGAGAGACAGTTGTGGCTTCCTCACAGACCCTCATACTGCTACTGCTGCACCAGGCTCCTTGTTACTGCTACTGCTGTACCAGGCTCCTTGTTACTGCTACTGTTATTGTTGTTGATGTGATGCTTAGCGTTGTTGCTGTTTATAGTCACAATCTATTAACTCAGCCTTTGTCAAGTGTCATTGTCAAGCAAATTTCCCTGAATAAAATATAACTTCCAACTTCTAACTTTTTATTAGGGTTTCTTTAATCTTGAATATTACCACTATTTTTTATTTTAATTTTCGAATTGTTATTCACATACATTTCTAAGATTTTATTCAGAATAATAAGTAAAATTAGAGATTTGGCTTTTAACCTACTGGAATTTCTGAAAATGTGACACAATATAAGTACATCACGTGTGTAAGACACTTTGATTTCTAAACAGTTTCCTTCACGAAGTGCAATAAATTAATAATATACATATATATTCACTAAACACTGTACAGTTCCACAAATAATGAAATAGCTGATTTGATTCCCTTTCGTCAGTACTGGTGAGTTTTCTGGCGTCTTGTTCTGTCAGCTACAGTTACTTTCATCTTCATTTTCCACTTCTCTGTTCTTCTTTTTGCTTCTTTTTTAGAAACCTGGAAGAGAGATAACATGGAGAATAATACATAAATATTGTTTCATTTGTATATAGGTGCATATATAAATAAGTACATGTATAAATTGATGTGTATTCATCCATTGTTCATACACATACATGAGGTCATAAGTAAAGTGAAATATCAGCTTTGTAAGCCTTCTGTTCTCCTATCATTTTTATCATTCTTTGATAATGTGAGAAATAACGATAGTGCTTAGAATTTCATTATTATTTCACTGTGTCTGAGGGTAACGTGTGACATAAATATTATGCAAAGAATTCGTAGTTTGGAGATTAGGAGAAGGTACGGAGTTAATAAAAGTATTATACATAGGGCAGAGGAGAAGTTGTTGAAGTGGTTTGGTCATTTAGAGAGGATGGAGCAAAAAAGGATGTCTTGGAAGGTGTATCAATCAGCAGTGGAGGAAAGGCGGGATAGGGGTCATCCTAGGAAAGGCTGGAGGAAGGAGGGAGGGGGGTAAGGAGGTTGTGTGAGCCTATTAGATATGACTGAGTGTAGGCAAATGGTTTTTGGGATTGAACAAGCTGTTGAATATGAGCAGAGTAATATTTTGTGAAGGAATTCCGGGAAACTGATTAACTAGAATTGAGTCCTGGAGTGGTATTGATCAATAACAACACTGCGCTAGCCAAGGATTCGAACCCATGTTGTACTGGCCGCCATTGTGAGCGAGAACCACAAGATGCCTTAACTCACAGGACCACCCAATCCTACAAGAACCAAGCACCCAGCCAAGCTAGGTGTGTTACTCTTGGTCCGAGGACATACGGAGGTGTGGGAGCTTTCAAGCTAATTTCATTCTCATCCCTTCTTGGTGTACTAGCCTACGAGTAGCATATATATATATATTATTGTAACCACGAATCCATGTTGTACTGGCCCGCTGTGAGCGAGAACCACATGGCGCTTTAACCCACAGAACCACCCGTATATCCTCGGACCAAGAGTAACACTCCTAGCTTGGCTGGGTGCTTGGTTCTTGTACGATTGGGTGGTCCTGTGAGTTAAGGCATCATGTGGTTTTCGATCACAATGGCAGGCCAGTACACCATGGGTTCGAATCCTTGGCTAGCACAATGTTGGTATTGATATATATATATATATATATATATATATATATATATATATATATATATATATATATATATATATATATATATGTATATAATATATTTTATTATTATTTATTATCACACCGGCCGATTCCCACCAAGGCAGGGTGGCCCGAAAAAGAAAACTTTCACCATCATTCACTCCATCACTGTCTTGCCAGAAGGGTGCTTTACACTACAGTTTTTAAACTGCAACATTAACACCCCTCCTTCAGAGTGCAGGCACTGTACTTCCCATCTCCAGGACTCAAGTCCGGCCTGACGGTTTCCCTGAATCCCTTCATAAAGTTACTTTGCTCACACTCCAACAGCACGTCAAGTATTAAAAACCATTTGTCTCCATTCACTCCTATCAAACACGCTCACGCATGCCTGCTGGAAGTCCAAGCCCCTCGCACACAAAACCTCCTTTACCCCCTCCCTCCAACCCTTCCTAGGCCGACCCCTACCCCGCCTTCCTTCCACTACAGACTGATACACTCTTGAAGTCATTCTGTTTCGCTCCATTCTCTCTACATGTCCGAACCACCTCAACAACCCCTTCCTCAGCCCTCTGGACAACAGTTTTGGTAATCCCGCACCTCCTCCTAACTTCCAAACTACGAATTCTCTGCATTATATTCACACCACACATTGCCCTCAGACATGACATCTCCACTGCCTCCAGCCTTCTCCTCGCTGCAACATTCATCACCCACGCTTCACACCCCATATAAGAGCGTTGGTAAAACTATACTCTCATACATTCCCCTCTTTGCCTCCAAGGACAAAGTTCTTTGTCTCCACAGACTCCTAAGTGCACCACTCACTCTTTTTCCCTCATCAATTCTATGATTCACCTCATCTTTCATAGACCCATCCGCTGACACGTCCACTCCCAAATATCTGAATACGTTCACCTCCTCCATACTCTCTCCCTCCAATCTGATATTCAATCTTTCATCACCTAATCTTTTTGTTATCCTCATAACCTTACTCTTTCCTGTATTCACCTTTAATTTTCTTCTTTTGCACACCCTACCAAATTCATCCACCAATCTCTGCAACTTCTCTTCAGAATCTCCCAAGAGCACAGTGTCATCGGCAAAGAGCAGCTGTGACAACTCCCACTTTGTGTGTGATTCTTTATCTTTTAACTCCACGCCTCTTGCCAAGACCCTCGCATTTACTTCTCTTACAACCCCATCTATAAATATATTAAACAACCACGGTGACATCACACATCCTTGTCTAAGGCCTACTTTTACTGGGAAAAAATTTCCCTCTTTCCTACATACTCTAACTTGAGCCTCACTATCCTCGTAAAAACTCTTCACTGCTTTCAGTAACCTACCTCCTACATATATATATATATTATATATATATATATATATATATATATATATATATATATATATATATATATATATATATATATATATATTATAAATCTATATATATATATATATATATATATATATATATATATATATATATATATATATATATATATATATATATATATATATATATATATATATATATATATATATATATATGTGTGTGTGTCGTGCCGAATATGTAAAACTGGTCATTTAGCAAGAACTCATTGAAAATTAAGTCCTTTCTAAAATTTTCTCTTATACGTTTAAAGATATATTTTTTTCATTAATGATAATGTAAAAAAAATTAATTTTGCACCAAAAGAATCTTAGTAAACTTACCTAACCTTATTATAACAAGAGTAATTTATTTTAGCCTAACCCAACTAAATATATTTTAGATTTGTTTAAAATAATTTAATACTAAACAAACACAGTGAAATATATTTTTTTCGTTAGGTTCAGAATGATTTTGGCGAAATTATTGCATACACAAATTTTCGTTTGTCCTATATGTCAAGACGAGCGTTGCTATTTAAGCCAAGATCGCAAGTTCTGCCTATATATATATATATATATATATATATATATATATATATATATATATATATATATATATATATATATATATATATATATATATATATATATATATATATATATATATATATATATATGTATATATATATATATATATATATATATATATATATATATATATATATATATATATATATATATATATATATATTATATATATATATATATATATATATATTATTGCAACCACGAACGATTGGTAATGAATCAATAACAACATTCGAACAGATGTTTTTTGGCCTGCCTCATGGTGAGCGAAAATCACATGATGCTCTAACCCACAGGACCATGCAATCCTTCTAAAATCAAGCACCAATCAGAGCTAGGCTTTTTACCTTGATCCGAGGACATTTGGTGGTGTGGGTGTCTCAATCTAATCCCCGTTTGGGGTACTAGTCTTCACGATCAGTATTTTATATTATTATAACCACGAATGTAGCCATTCATTGCCCACTCTCCTCCTACGAAAGATGTTACATATGACTGACTGTTCCCTTGACCTAATTAAATCCATAGTTGATCGATCTGTGCTTATCTAGCGCCTCCTGCCTCCTGCTCTTTCCTATATTGTTCCCACCAGGTAATGTCGGGTAATGTTACCATTACCTGACATGATGTTATCCAACCTGTTGACTATGTCTCAAACACCAGCTCCTGAGAAACAGGGCTCTCTGTCTCACTTTCCTATCTCTGTTGCAGAAAGCACTCTCAATATATCTTACTTGTGAGCTGTGAGTCACCGATCACGAGGATATTCCTATCATTAATAGCAGAATAGTTAATGGTACCTTTATTCTCACTGACCACTGAAGTACATTAGTCTTGGAGAACAGAGAAGCGATTTCCTACCTTCAAATCTTCTCTTTCAACCTTCCTTATTTTAATGTTCCTCCCTTTACTGGGAACTACTTCCCACTTTCAACAGCTGCCAATCTGCTTCTCACTGTTGGTAACCTGTTTCCCTTCCCTTCACTAACTCCAAACACCTCACATTCATTGCTATACATACCCAGGCGAGTTTTTTGCCTTTTATTTTCCTCAAGAAGTATAAACTCATCCTTTAACACTTTGATCTTAGATTCTAAAACACTACAGAAGTGAGCCATGGTACTCTATAATACTCTATACTAATTCCCTAAAATAGTTCAGGTCAGCTGCGACCATTTGAACATTCACTCTTCTGAGTGACTTACAATGAGGGGTTATATCACTGAAGTGTATATGTTGAAGATGGGCATAAACAAAGGCAATACAAATAAATCTTGATGTATTGAACATATTGACTCCAAGCTGAGGGACTGATTACCTGAAACTCTACACATCTTCCACCGTTCTTCTCTGCTTTAGACTGAAAAAGTCAATAGGTAGCAAAACGTTCCCAGAATAAAGATACCCATATGTTTCACAAGTGTATTATTTAATAATAACAATAATAAAAATAATATTTATTTCTACAAGTATATGATACAACTTATACAGACCATAGCTGACATCACTGGCATAATATATACAGACCACAGCTGACATCACTGGCATAATATATACAGACCACAGCTGACATCACTGGCATAATATATACAGACCATAGCTGACATCACTGGCATAATATATACAGACCATAGCTGACATCACTGGCATAATATATACAGACCATAGCTGACATCACTGGTATAATATATAGAAAGCATCTGGTAATGCAGAGCAGTTCGAGAAACTTAGGTTAATCTTGTCCCCCAGGATGCAACAAACAACTGTCGGCTAACACCCAGGTACCTACTTACTGTTAGGTGAACAGGGGCAGTAAGTGTAAGAAAACATGCCCAACGTTTTACCTGTGCCAGATCGATCCTTGGACTCTCAGTGAGTTAGCTGAGGAAG